GACCGTGTGGTTCTCCATAAGAATAACTGTCCTTTCGGTGTCTTCGGGAGTTGCAGGGCCAACGTTGAGATCATCTTTGTTAACATCCAGATGAAGTGACGCAGAGGGCGACCTGATGATTGGATTACTATCCAACAAACTAGATCTGCCTTGCTCAGTTAAGTAAGAGGTCTGCGCTTCGGTCAGTTTGATATCAGGACCGCTGGTTGAGGTGATAATAATGTCAGGGATATCCGTCGTCTTGTTAAAGGTCATTTGTAGTCCATTATCTTTTTCTAAGTTAAAGTCAGGTCTGAAGGGATCATCTACATTAGATCCTTGAAGTTGCTGATGTGTAATAATGTCAGGTATCTCCGTCGTCTTGTTAAGGGTCATTTGTAGTCCATTATCTATTTCTAAGTTAATAAAGTCAGGTCTGAAAGGGTCATCTACACTAAATCCACCATCTGTAGAAGATTGAGAGGGAGCCGTTTCTGACAGAGATGAGACTGAGGTCTGGTCACTTACACAATTTTCCTCGATCGCAGTTGAAGGAGATCCAATGAAAAAAAGAAGAAGTTGTTCGTTTTGAATATCACTCTTTCCTCTAGGTATGGAATGCATGTACTCAAGAGTGGAATTTCCTGAGAGAACACACAGAGATCCTGAGTGCATGGGCACCAAATGGGTTACTTTAGTTCCCCGTTTCAGTTTGAGTGATCTTGGGGCCCCAAGGGAAAGAATGGCAACTGTGGGTTTCGCCCCATGTTTTCCAGCTAGTGTTTCGTAGGGGATATGATCGTTATAACTTGGGAGTCGCCTGATTACTATGTTGGTGATAGTTGTATTAAGTTCAAATATTGAGCTCGCTGATTTCTCGATTTTCTTGGTGAGGTAGCTGATCTGATTTCTAAGGTTACTCTCCGGGGTCGAGTCATCTGGATGACCCTCAGACTCTACGCAATCATCTTCGATCTCCAGATTTATCTCTTGACTGCTACTCGTTTGGTTAGGGTAATTCGATATATCAACATTCAGCTCACTAAGCAGCCGTTCAGCGGCGTCGAAGTCAATAAAATCCTCGATGTAGTGTAAAGTACATTTCTTTTTCCTTTGATCCAGGATGTATACCCCGTTCTCCGTGATGGCCTTTGGTTTATTTGACTGTTTCTTTTTCCTCTTGTCTTGACTCGAACTACACTCACTAACACTCCTCTCACTGACACTCCTCTCACCTGCACTCATCTCATTTACACTCCCAGATGCACTGCTCTGCTCGGAGTAACTCCTCATTCTGCGCGAGATCTTCTCTCCGGGATTCCAGTACGGACTTAAGGTTTTTGGTAAGCGAGATGGTTGACTGCTTGAAAGAGTTTCCGTGGGGTGTGCTTTCTTAGGAGTGCTGTTTGAGTTCTGTGATCTGGAGTCATCGGAGAGATCTTCTTTTCGGACCATAAAAACTTGAAGTTGCTGATTGAGGAATGGAGTAGGTAGATATCTTTTTTTCTCCGTAAAAAGCGTTGAACTGTAGGTATCCAAAGGTTTCAAATGAAATTTAGAGAATTCAAATGAGCCGACGATAGAGCAAACGGCCAACATAAAAACAAATGTCAAAAAAACCTGATACTTTGTCAAAGTGTTTTTATACTTCAAAATTGGTTCTAAATTTTGCTCCAAATTTTGCTCCAAATTTTTCTCCCAAATTTTATTATGGCACAGGATGTGTGAGGTTGGTGAGGTGAAAGAATATTCGAGATTGGGCGTTTCTATGCTATCATAGTGACTACGCGGAACGTCGGCTCTGCCGCATTGGGTCGGACGGGTCTCGGAAAAAGCGAGCGCAGGCACGCGAGCGCGACGAACGTGGCCACAAGCGAGGAGATACCTAGTAACCCTGGCACTGACATCTACCACTAAATATTCGGAGCGATCAATAAAATGGTAATCGAAAAAATCTTCAACAAAATCTTGCAAAGTCCACTCATCAAATAAAATAGGGCGTTGGGGCACTATTACATTTCCTATCAGTATCATGTTTACATATTTACTTTTAGAGACACTCAAGAATTCAAAACAATCCACAAAAACATGGCATGAGCCCAAGTCTAAAAATAGGTCTGGGCGTGGGGCCACTGCAAGTATCACATTCGAAATATCACAAGTACATTCAAACAATACGTCATTATTCCACATAGTGTGTAGCATCGGTATATGATATGAGAAAGTTCCAAGACACCGGAAGTACGTCTGCGTGTAAGAAAAATGCAAATGTTCATTTAAACAGATGAGCGAAGAGTTGCAGTTACACGGGTGGTTGAGTGTGTAGGTACACTTACAACTGATGTTAAACATAATCGGGTCCCTGATCGTTGTACGATATAAGTGCGAGTAGAACCACAAACCCGGTTTTAAGCCAAAAGAATCCAAATCCAGTCCCAATTCCAGTTCCAATATGTCCAGAGAATTAGAGATAGGGTTAGGCGGAGGGGCAGGACCAGTTCCAGCCACAATACTGGCCACGCCAGCGATTAAAAGCAACAACCACGTCACGGTGACAGTGGTAAATCGAGGAGCTTTAAAAGTGTAACGAATGCAAATGTGTAATATCCACTGCAATATCCACTGCAATGACGTCACGTGATCCACTGCAATGACGTCACGCGACACACTCACGTGACACACTACGTCATGACTACATTATAATATCCTTAATATTCTCTAATCTTTCTATGCTTGATGGACGGTGTTATCATGCATTACTTATGTCACTTTAGGTCCTCAGAAAATTTAAATTCATCACAATATAACTGTGTCACTCTGAAAAATAAAGAGCCACTTGGCTCTTCCACCTGCCACTTGGCTCTTCCACCTGCTTCTAATTATTTCCATCGTTAAATATAGACACTGCAGATCCCTAGATTTCTTGCTTCGTATATCTGTTGCTGATAGTTTGCTACACCACATTTCATGTTGCTGATTATAGTTCATTTGCCACATTTCAACTCCACCTAGTATAGCTGCATGGCACCAAAAACTATTTAAAGCAACAGACACCAACGTCAAAGTAATACGATTTTAAGCTAGACGATATCACAGAGAAACTCGATAAAATCATTGAATTTGTATTTTCCTTCGTCCAGTCGCCACTAGGAAGTCGAATACATCTCACATCTGAGAGGATATTATTTACACAAACATTAGTTCACTGCTTCACTGGCGTCACCTCATTGTCGGCTTTGTTGCGTTTTAGCGTTTGTTGTCGGAGGGCATGTTTCTCCTGAGTTATACAGTGTGTTTCTAAAGTATTCTTAATTCTTGAACTTTACCGTTTCAACTTTATCGTTTCTTCGAATGTACACGTTTTTCACAGCTTTTATACCTACAACAAATATATTGGTCGCTGGTCTTGTCTTTGTTTGAATAAACGATATTTCATCTAGATTCTACAGCTCAAATGGTACGATGTACGACAACAATTTTCTTCTTCTTATTCAAATATTGGGCACTTGTTCGAACAGGTTAGTTTTATCTTTCAGTTACTTATATCTGTTCCCCATTTTATTACTAAATTCAACCGAATCCTAAACATTGATTATTTTCCTGCTCAATGTACTAAATTTTAATCATTATTGAACTTATTCACATTTTTTTAACGCATTGAACGGTTCGAACCGAAAGTTTTGGTCTAAGATAATTTCAAATAGTGCACTCTTCAACAAAACCAGGTGGCCTTAAATTAGCTTAATGTTGGAATTATTCGATTATAGCCCGAGAATTCGGGATAACTGTCGAGCAACTTGCACCAGACAGTAAATTAATCTTCAGTCTATAATATTCTGAGTGTTTTAAAAGATTAAAGGAGCTTGATCCCTGCGATCGAAAACAAGGGTTCCTATTATATTTAACATAATACCAATAATGAACCTGCCAATATTTCAAAACCAACCGTTCCAGACGCCTACACTCTCCGAGCAACATGTGATAACATTATGACAATGTACATTGACGGAGCTCTACAACAACCATCCTCCGGGGACAACTTACACTGGACTCAAGAGAAGATCTTCCAAATATCAGACTCCTTTAAGACGATAGCTATATATTGCTATGATTATGGGGGTGCGGAAGGTATTTTAGCTTCAGTAGAGGAGGAAGGAGGAGAAGTTATCTTAGTAACAGACAGTACGTGGAGGTGTGGGAATGTGGAGCAGCAGGGGTGGACTCAGTATGGGTTCCAGGAGGACGGGCATGTTTGGAAAACAGCTAAGGAGTTTGGAGTACATGGAATAGCGCCGTGGAATGTGGTCGGGAAGATTTCTAGAGAAGCTAAGTGGATTTGGGAAGAGACGAAATCAGCTTACTCTTACTGCCGTTTTACACGGCCAATAAGTAAGTTTAATTTTATGTAATATTGTGGTAGATTGCTGTCAAAACAGGTAAAAAGTTGCACTGAGTATATTTCAGTGTTTATGTTTAATAATATAGTTACCACTTTTGTTCCTGAAACTAAAGTATGAGTGGACAGATCTTTATCTATGCTGACTGTGCTGCACAAATCACATTCATATCACTCATTTCATTATTGGGCTGTGTAACACAATTATTTAAAATTACTTATTTATATAAAAATATATTAATATATATAAATTATATAAAAATATAAACATAAATAACAAGTTATAGTTATATTTAATATTTATAAATCGTTCTGACAGACAAGCATGACTACACCAACATAGCAATTTAACGCATTTTCCCCATCATACTAACATAGATATCATCTGAAACGGATTCCAGGAACGAGTATCAATGCTAGAATTTATCTAGGTCTAGTGATTTGAAAGGAATGCAGAACAAAATATTATTCTGATTTCATCGATTGGTCATGGGCCATCACATGGAGTATTGAATTCCAAGATGACTGAATAATAATATCCGTCCTCAATTCACTAGAACAAACATTCCCAAAACTTGTATAAAACATAATCTAAAACTTTAAATAACTACAATACCCATTAGAAATGAGAAATGATTACATAAAACACATAATCTATTGTGTCCTACTCCAAATATTACTACTGTGGTCCTCTTCAAACTCTAGCGACCTCTCCGAATTCAAACCAGAGGCCCTTATACAGTATGAGATAAGGAAAGTGGAGGGTACGGCAGCGGGGTACTTTCTAACCTACACCTCTGATATAAGGAATGTGGGATCATATTGGGTACAGAGTTTGATATTATCTAATTTAGAGTTTTTGTAAAGTTTGAAGTACCATTGAGATTGGCTTTTATATTTTTGTAGAATTGTTTGAATTCCATTGCAATGCAGCAGTGTCCTGAGTTTGTTAGAAACATCAAAACCCTTAATTACTGTTCAGTGTTCTATACAGTCGCCGCCCGCCGGTAAGTGACCCGTGATAACTTCATTAACATGTTTTGTTCAGGTACACCTACAGAAGAGCGATGGTACTGATGAGGGTGAGAAGTGGGGGATTACTTTCAATGAGTACAAAGGACAAACCTGCTACAAGATAGAGGCTCTACATGGTAACCGATATATTGATTATTTATTACTTATTACGACTCAATTGTGTTGATTTATATAATGGGGGGCCGGGGGGGGGGGGGGGGGGGGGGGGTGGCAGTACCTAATTCCATGCCGTGATATTTTTAAAAGTGTGATCCGAATTTCAATTCTCACATATTTCCTCCCTCAGGTGTAAACAAAGGAAGAATGCTGGTAGCTCACAGCGACAACAGAGCTAACGGTGACGGTAGAGTGCTAGTACACAGCGCTGATCACCGAGAAGGGGACGAGTGTTGGGTTATACAGGGTGTTAGGAGACAGGGTGTCTCTGTTGGATACACTATTGTTAAATCTACCGTTAGTTGTTTAATTAGTTATTCACTCGGTTATTTACTCAGATTTTTAGAGGTTTAGTTAGTTATTTAATTAGTTATTCAATTAGCTATTTAATTGGTTATTTACTCAGTCATTTACTCGGTTTTTTACTACACGTGGTCATGGTGTAGTATGAAACAGTGAAACAGGGCCTAAGGAAATTTATAGATGAGCTTAGTTTTCATAATTTATCAACACTGGATAATATGTATTATTTATTATTATTATTATATGAACCTACCTATATCCAAAAACCCGCATTCTCGCATTCTAAGAATGTAGGAAATTTTTAAAAGTAGGAAATTTTTGACAAAAAGTAGGAAATTCGAGAGCCAACTCTGAGAATTTTGGATAATATTTCAGTAGGAATTTAAGTGAAAGAGCAGACTAAAAGTTGCTGGACCGTTATTTAAATGTCTTCAGTCAGGGATCCACTGATCCAGTCTATCAAATTTCGTTTCACAGACCAAAGTTTGTTGCTATTAGCTACAAAATCTGTGCATCAAGTAACCACTAACCAGATGCTAATTATTGGGGCATTTTCGCGTACACGACATAAATAGTTGTCATTATTACTTTATTAACATTTTACTATCTACTTATCTAGTCTATGAAACCGGATATGTCTACAGTGTCACCCGATATCTGTATTGGCAAGCAGTAGCATATACACATCACGTCTTCAATGTGTGTATCACACTGCACACACCCAGCCCAAATTCGTGTGGCGTGAGAAAATATCAGAAAAACAGGGCGTTTTAACTAATCTGTACGATGATGCTAGAATGGGCGTGAGAATTGGACCTTTTCTAGTTTTTTAATTAGTCGCTCTGCCCGCTTGCTTTTGTTGCTTACATTGGGTTGTTGAACTTCCTATTAATCATGAATCGTCCAAAGTTCAAGTCTAAATCCGAGGTCCAATGCGGTATATGCAAAGAAGTTTGTACTCGAGCCGATAATCTTAAAGTTCATTTTAAGAGGTGTCACCCAGGGCATCAGTCCTCAGGGACGTAGCCAGGATTTTTCTTTGAGGGGGGCGGAGCCCCTTGGCGGGGGCTAGGGGGGCGCAGCCCCCCGGAAATTTTTTGCGAAACAGGGTGTTTTAGACGACATTTGGCATTAAAGAAATTTGTAGGACAGCAATAAACTGGGATTAAAAAGAATCAAGTACTCACGTAAATTTGGTAACTTCACAACAGCATAATCTGCATTCTCCAATCAGAATTTACGACTTACTCAGGCCTCATCGTCTTAAGATTTTTACATTTCCTACGGTCTAGGGGACACTATTGACTATAATTATAGAAGTCTTCTAGAATGTTTGCTTGGATTTAATGACATATATTTACTAATCCACAGTTCAAATCTTTGACTGACTGCAGTCATAAACACAGCCCAGTTACCAGGCGACCATGGGGACTAGGGGGCTTATCTTTTTTCTGGGGTTCGATTTTTTCCGGGGGGCTGCCGCCCCCCTAGCCCCCCCCCCCCTGGCTACGTGCCTGTCAGCCCTATGAATTCATACCGAATCAACCTAAGTTGAGGTAGCTATCACATTAAGACATTACGAATCCAGACAATTTATCCCAATAAAAATTGAAATCAGAAAATAGTATGCTAAAATCGTTCTCCATTGTCAGATTCGTTCCAGGAGGCCAAATCTAGTTTAAATTTCCAAAATTTTCGGGGGCTTCTCCCCCAAACGTAACCTAGGATTATCTATTAAAAAGCATTTCGGGCCCTAAAAAATTAAAATTGAGAATCTGGAATCCGCCATGAAAAATCTTTGAACCGCGCGAATACAAAGACTTTTTATGCGAGCGAAGCGAGCGGGCCACAGAAAACGAAAAAATTGAGAATTTAGGAAATTAAAAATTTTTTGGATATGGGTGAACCTAAAAAGTAAAAAGTAGCCTCTCAGGAACGACACAGGGGCAAGTACCTAATAGCTAGCGAGGTACGTGATGATGACACATTCTGGGTAGATGTCACTGATAATGTACAGGTGGAAAGTTTGTGGCAGATTACTGCAGATAGAAGTAAGAACCATGAGGAGATGCATTAATGATCAGTACTACTTGTTAATAGTTGTTTTCGTAAGCTGGCTGACAGATCTTTATACTTTTATACCTTACGAGACATATATAAATGGTACGCAAGTCGGTGGTTTTTCGGGGGAAAAAACACCATATTTTCGGACTAAAAATAGTTCATCAAAAAATTAATGAACTCTAGTATTCGATCATGAATTGCTTTAAAACTTTAAAAGTGATTTTGGACACGTTCCATTAAAAATGAGCAAGCTCTGTCAATACTTTATTGGCCACGGCGATGAAATTTCGGGATTAGTCGAAGGTAACAAACACTGTCGTTCTCCTATAATACCCTCTGGAGGATTATAAGTTAAGTTGAGGCTAACTTTCAAAGGCTCCGGAGAAATTGTTTACAAGATGAAACAGATTATCAGAGACGATTTTTGTATTTAATTTTCTCAAATACTGGGTTTCATTTTTTATAAAATAAGGAGATGAAAAAATCCCCAAATACCATGATTTAATTTGGGGTACGAAATGTGGCGGTTTTCGATAAAAATTCCCATATTTTCGTTCCCAAATCATTTAGGTCACCGGAATTATGTCTAACGTAAATATGTCTCGTAAGGTAGATACATTCATAAACATTCATATAATTTTTTACATCTATTCTTATTTATCATCTATACTATTTGTAACCCGTTTTGACTGACAGGCGCTGCGCAATACATACAAGCAAACCAATTAGCAATAATGGGTATTGTCCAAAAAAAACATTGGAGTATACGATTAACATAGATATCATCACACAGATTTCAGAGAAAACCAAGGATAAGAGGTATCGCCGAAAGTTCTTTTGAAAATCTGGAACTCTGATTCAGAGACTTGTGGGGAATACCCATTTAAGGGGGCAGGGGGGGTCTTCATGGAAATTTTCTCAAAATCGACTTTTTAGTTGTTTCTGATAGAGGGGAGTGATATCTATCAGATGCTTTAAATCCGATAGAAAAATATTGTTCCTAGCCAAAATTATCGCTGGTAAAAGGTCAGCGCTTGTGTGTAATTGTATTGCGCGAGCGATTTTTGATCGCGTGCCCTGAAAATCGAGTCTAAAAATCTATCTCCTCCTACATTTTTTGAGCAATCACCCTCAAACTTTCAGGATATGTTCTAGGGATCATTTAGAAGAGATTATCCAGGCAAAATTTTGAGATAGGCCTTTAAACATTTTTTATTCGATTTTGAAAATCTTGGACCTGGTTTTTTGACGATTTTTCTCGGTCCAAGATTTTTAAAATCGAATAAAAAATGTTTAAAGGCCTATCTCAAAATTTTGCCAGGACAAACCCTTCTAAATGATCCTTAGAACATATCCTGAAAGTTTGAGGGTGATCGCTCAAAAAATGTAGGAGGAGATAGATTTTTAGACTCCATTTTCAGGGCACGCGATCAAAAATCGCTCGCGCAATATAATTACACACAAGCGCTGACCTTCTACCGGCGATAATTTCTGCTAGGAGCAATATTTTTCTATCGGATTAAAAGCATCTGATAGATATCACTCCCATCTATCAGAAACAACTAAAAAGTCGATTTTGAGAAAATTACCATGAAGACCCCCCCTGCCCCCTTAAGGAGCATCATGAGGGTCGAAGTTGTGCACCATGGCAGAGTCGGCAGACAAAGGATACAAACTACCGAACAAAGAAACTGATTCAGTATAAAGATAGAATCTTTGTCACACGTGACTACACAACACACGTGACAACACACATGGCAACACACGTGACAACACACGTGACAATACACGTGACAACACACATGGCAACACACGTGGCAACACACGTGGCAACACACGTGGCAACACACGTGGCAACACACGTGACAACACACGTGACAACACACGTGACAACACACGTGACAACACACGTGACAACACACGTGACTACACACGTGACAACACACGTGAATACACACGTGACAACACACGTGACAACACACGTGACAACACACGTGACTACACACGTGACAACACACGTGACAACACACGTGACAACACACGTGACAACACACGTGGCAACACACGTGACAACACACGTGACTACACACGTGGCAACACACGTGACAACACACGTGTCAACACACGTGACAACACACGTGACAACACACGTGACAACACACGTGACTACACACGTGACAACACACGTGACAACACACGTGACAACACACGTGACTACACACGTGACAACACACGTGGCAACACACGTGACAACACACGTGACAACACACGTGGCAACACACGTGGCAACACACGTGGCAACACACGTGACAACACACGTGACCCACCTGCTCACAAAGAGATAATCGTATTCTGTTGGAACACAAATCACAAAGAAGTTATCTTGCAGACCGCTCATCTTTACACAGGAGATGTCCAATAAACCTAAAGAAGGACATGATATCAAAATAGTGAAATATATAAATTAAAGATTTTTGAAAGAATATGATAATATTATATGCCTTATTATTTTCGGTTATTTGTAATTAAATGAACAATTGATATTATCGTGGAGTATTTACATAATTTTTATTTTTTCCAATAATCACCTATTCTTCTTTTTGACTTGATGGACACTGGGTCTATGTTATACAGTGCCTTTTCAGTGAGCAACAGTATACGTTCCTAAAAGTAGTTCGTTAGTCGATTATTAACCTGACACTTTGTTTAAGTAAGTTAAGTGAAGTCTAAATTCAAATGAGTATTTGAGTGGTTATGAAGTTTTAAGTTTAAACTATTTCTAACTTTCTAATAATAATTAATTGGTTATAGTGATAGAATTTGTATTATCCTACAGTCTAGGATTAGTCCCAGTAGAGTACTGGGGAAACCTGGACTTTAAACTGAAGTTATGTGTTTTACTTTTACTCTTCATTATTTTACTCTTCAATATTCTGAATTAGTGAATTTAAAGATATAACGGTCTGTTGAAGATTACCTGACGTTTGCACTTTCTGTTGATCTTGATGACGCTATCTGCGAACAAAACTTCCTTTTCCTCGTGCTTCCTGAATTTCAAAATGTGGCGATACATGAAGAATTTAACCAAAATTTGATTATTTTCTTATTCAATAAACTAAAGAGTAAAATCGTTAAATATCTTACCCGATGATAGACAGTATCTTGTTGTTAGTTTTAGCACCCATATAATCGCCTTGAAGTGGTTTGTTCAGACTGCTTCTCCTCCTCTCTTTTTTCCCCATGAACTTCTCCAGTCTTTTCTCGTCCTCTTTCTTCTCGTCCTCTTTCTTCTCCGACTTCGTCTCCTCTGACTCAGTCGAACTCATCCTTGATTAGTGTTAAGGACTAAGGTTAGGTCTATGCCATGGGGGTTGGGGCGGGTGTATTATATCACCTATAACGACAACTCTACGTACCAGTTATAGATTCTATAGATCACAATAAACTGTTTACATGATAATATTTAAATTTTATATTTGCTCTATTTTTATCATTATTTCTAACGGAATCACAGACTCAAGTGACCAACTATAATTGAATCAAGAACCTGATAATTTGAAGCAAACTTTAAAATTGCCTCTGCATTTTACATTTTACCGTGCTAATTAATAATTAAAGTTCGCAATGTTAAACAGTGAAATTCCTCCAGCATTTAAGCAATGTCACTATTATATTGAATCATGACGAACAATTTTACATCAACAGAAATTAGTATACATACAACAGCTACATTCATTTAATTTCTCACTCACCTATTACTATTTACTCGTACTTTATTGATAATTATAACATAGGATAACTGGTATGTTAAATAACCAATCGATATTTTTTTGGATACAGGAAGAACTGGTCTCTGATTGTACTAAATCAACAGTGAACTCTGGTAAGTTATAAGTAGAGGTTTTCATACTCGCTACTTTCTGAGTAGTGAGTAATCAAAGGAGAACAGCCCAACTTAAGAACGTATACAATTTAAATCATATGCATAACTTAATATAATATATTTATACTGAAATAAATTTTAACCAGCCGAAAAGGAACAGGATTGTTAGGAAAATGGTCTAGCCAGACCCAAATCTAACGAAAACTATCAATAATAAAGCAAGTCTTATAGAAAGAACTGCATTTAACATGATGTGGTTGATAAAAACTTATAAATTTGAATTTTCTATCAGGAGTCCAATGTTCGATCAACAAACACATAATACCCAAAATCCAAAACAATAATAGAAAATTCAAATTTTAATTTTTTCGATCATCCGTAATCCGTATGCTTAAAGTTTTAAAACCGAATTACTAGACTACGGGAAAATTTCGATAAAATAAGAAATGTTCTTCTCCTGGTAAAAGAATAGAGTCAGTATTCCAGCCGCCTCAGGCGTCAAGTCTCTTTATTCATTCTTTGGGTTTTCCACTCTAACTTTCTTTGATAACTCTTGTTAATCCTTCTATGCTAATCCAGTTCCCAACTCCCTAGTGTACCTCTACCAAAATGTCAAGGCTCTCATTCCTTTCAATTAACTACGCTCCTCCCATACCTTCTTGGATGGTAATAATTTCCGAACTTCAATCCATTGCTAACATAGAGGCAGCCCTGACATAATTGCCCTAAAAGAGACTGGTCTCAAAAATCTTATGTGTCTAGCACGTAAATCTTTCTTACTTCTCCATATGAAATCTACTCTCATATGACCGCACGAGAAAGACTCAACCCTCAAGATCCAATAACCCTCAAAAGTTAGGGAAATAGGAGGTGGTTTCTTTTGGCTGTTCGTCTGAATCTCGACGCACAACAACCCGACTACCAGCGTTTAGCCCTCGGTGCAGAAATGCTTGCCGTTAAAAGTTCTTTTCCTAACAAAGAGAGTATTGTTATCTGTACTTGGTTAAGATAGGAACTCTGGGTTACCTAATCATAAGTCATAGTTATTTATATTCGCAAGCTGAGAGTTTCCAAAAAGAATCCCCTATAATCAATGATTATTGTTGATTTTACTCTCCCCATACAGACTGGCTATCTTCATCCAGTACCGGTAACCTATTTAGCAAACCTTCATAGATTCTCAGTGATCTTTCTCTCTCCCAGTTGATCACATCACCCACCCCTAAAAGTGGTATAAACAATAGACAATCCTTCTCAGTAATTAATGATAACACAATCGATGAACTTGAAATGTCTGTGATACTCAAATCCGTGTGCAATCTGATCATTTTCCTGTCACTTTTCATTAAAACTCCTTTTCCCGTAGACAACTCCTAAAACGTAAAATCTTATAATTATAAGAAAAGCCAAACTTGGGACATGATTAATCGAGATTTATGCTCGATTAATGCAAGTCCTAGAATGCCTAGCACCTGAATCGTCTTGGAAGTTAGTTAAAGACTGCATTATGTAATTTATAGTCTGATATACATATCCTAAAGTTAATTAATCAATCATAGTTCGCAACCCCCGTGGTTCATAGTGAACTTGTTTCTTCATCCGTAAAAACATAGACTCAGAGCATATAAAATTACTGTTCTATTTCTATGAGTTAAAGTTTGTTTACTAGCCGTAAAGAATTTAAGTAGGCTCCAAACAGCCAAAATAAAGATAATCTTTTAAATATGTGGTAAGATCCAGCGCTTAATAACTAAGAAGTTTTGAGGTATCAAATGTTAAGTAAAATCTAACTCCTGGCCGATTCCCAAATTGTGTAGTTATTCTGACAGCTTCGTTTCAATTCCCCAAAGATCAAGCTGAACTATTCAATTCATTGTTTTTATAACAGTTTTTTCGATCCTTCACTTTATGACACTGACATCCCAATTCAATGATGTTGATTTTGATTATGACTACGATCATCGGATGTTCGTAAGCTTCTTCAAATATTAATTCAAATAAAGCCAGGGACAGATGCAACCGGTAAAAATTCTCAAATTGTTTTCCTAGTTTAGCTGTACCCACTAACATGCATTTTCGTGGATCCTACACAGCTCAACATCCACAAGAATGGAAACATGCAAATGTTGACCCAATATTTTAATGAAAGGTAAAAAAAGTGAGTTTGAAAACATAGACAATATCCCTTACTTGTTTAGTCATGAAAGTGATTTAGCCGCATTGTAAAACGGAAACTGCTTTCTTGACAAGTACCCTTCGTGATCCCAGGCACAGGTTTTCTAATAGCACAATCATGCTCAACCAATATGGATTATTTTTTGTGATAGCCCCTGGGCATATGTCTCTTAACGCAAACATTATCATCATGTTTGTATTTTGATTTGCAAAGGGCATTTGATTCAGTAAATCATGATATCCTTCTCATAAGCTAAAGAACTTTAAATACATTGATGGTACACTTACTCAAATTTCTTACCAATAACCTTCAAGGCCGTTACCAAGAGTGGTTATTGGTATAGGATGTCCATCTACCCTCTCAGGTTAATTCTGGTGTCCCCCAGGCTCTATCCTTGGTCCCTACATTTTGTATATTGTTTAGCAAAGATATTCCTTCTTGGCTTTTCGGATATACTGATATTGTTTTGTTATGCCGATGAACCAAATCTGCGTAAATACATTCAACTTCTGATAATACCAATTTCAAATGGATTATAGACTATCTCTCTGACTGGGCACTTAGAAACAAAAAGCTATTCCATCAGCAAAATGTAAACGTGCTTATTGTTTCAGGAAAAACCATCTTATCTCCTCATTCGCATATAATCTTGATGGATCTCCTCTTGTATGTAGAGTAGAAAATAACCTGGTGTCGATATTAACTCTAACTCAGTTTGAATAGTCATGCGACAAATTTATACTAAGGCCTGCCAACAACTAGGTATGGTCAAAGAGATGTGCCATATAGTCATTGATACAGAAACGTCGTCGGGCGCTTTTACCTCTCCAGGTCGTAGACCATTCGAAAATTGTCCAAATCTGGCGCCCTTGTAAAAAACACTTAGTGATAAATAGAAAGTCTCCAAAAGAGAGCTATTAATGGGATTCTGTCTGAAGAGGGCCGCAGTTATCCACCTGAGCATATTCAAAAAGTGCAAGTCTTGTCGACATTCTCCTGTGTGTGTGGGGGGGGGGGGGGGGGGGGGGGGGGGGGGGGGGGGGGGGGGTGTGGTTGTTTGTGGTGGGGGGGGGGGGGGGTGGTGAGTTTGTGTGTGGGTTTGTGGTGTAGGGTGTTGTGTTGTGTTGTGTGTGTGTGGTTGGTGTTTTGGTGTGCTCAAAAGTTTGACTTGAATACTTATGTTTTCCACAAAGTCGGAACAATTTAATTCCGTATGCTGCTCACTATCTCAGCATTATATCAGGCACTTCTCGACTAACTTGCCACCTCGACATCTGTCTATTGGTCATCATTTTTACCTAGTTAAATCAAATCTCACACCTAGGTACCTCAAATAGCCAATGCAAATCATCTTTCTACTGAACTCATATACTGTGGAATGACTCCCTTTACAGTAAGACAATTAGTTTCTACAGTGTTTTCAAAGCTTGAGTCACTAAGCATCGTATGGAATGTTTATGGATAGTGAAACACACCCTAGCCTAGTCCTTGCTCCCCATATATTATTAGTTGTTTTATTAAGTTTTTTATCTACCTTCCTATACTATCAACATCAAACACACTTCACCCTCACAACCTCACACATTAATACCATAATCAACCTGTATCTAATGTATCTGGAATTGACGTATTGAAATACCAATTTTGACTATAAATCCACAGTTATTCACCATGGATTTTTTGTTATTATTAGGTTTTTGTACAAATTTTTTGGATTTAATTAATTCGATGTAATGGGTCCAAGTTACTGCGGACATAAGTTCACTATTGTTTACCTGTTTTGTTTGCCCATCATATTTTAACAGATGGGGGCAATATTTTTGAACGATTCTATTTATATTACATCTTTTGCTGTACTCCCTGTAAAATTTTGAATAGGATTAATAAAAAAAAAAAAATATTAACAGACCGCGACGAGTCCAACTCGGCGCAGCGTCCTGATAGTTAGAATAAACCTACAATTCCCAAAAGTATTCCAAGTAATTTATAAAAATGATAAATGCATGATAGTGACTTTAATACAAATCCAATGCAAAATATTTGTCACAATGCATGAAGTTGAAAACCAATATTAAAACATTGCAATTTGAAGGAGTGTAATGCATTCCTCAGGAAATAAAACGCGCTTTTCATAACATCCATAAATTAATGTTTTTACACTCAAATCAAAATTTAACCGCGACGATGCATGCGAAGTGACGACGTCAGACGTCCTCCAACATAAATTCAGTGTTATAAGATACAAGCGCGATCACAGAAATTTTGTCT